GAGTTCAGCTTTCACTGACCCATGTTTACTTCAATGGATTGGAAAAAAACTTCAGCTACAGAACTGTTTTCTGCCCGGCGCAAGCAGAGCTACCCACTACCAGCCCCCAGGAGGTTTCTGGCTTGAATGGCAGTGGACTTGTTACAGCGCATGGATCTGCCTTTGTTGGGTGTCATTCAAAATACTTCCTTGGGCTTTAACTAGGGCCCTGGCCCCATCATTAGCTCCACATTAGACCGGGGGGGGGGGGGGTCTATTAACGTTGGGCAGAGCCTGCTTGCTCAGTAGATGTGGGATAAGCATCTTACCACCCCAAGCTGCAGCCCAACAGGTGTGCAGGGGGCATTGCGCACAGTTCACAAACCGTTTGGAGGCCACGCAGCAGCCTAAAACCTGCTCCTGGCAGATAAAACCCCTTCCCTTTCCTTTTAAACTGGTGCCAGAGACTGGAACCCCTGGGCTGGCAGGTAGATACAGCCGCCTTCGGGCTTGTCTGCCCAGCTTCTGCTTAACCCACGTGGAAGTGGGGTTAAGAAAGCAGGAACACGGCACTCTTATTCCAGAACAAGAATGTCCATGCATGGGCTTGGTCGGAAACAGCTAGTGTGCTTCACAGTCACGCCGAGTGATGTGCAGCCAAGCCCTTACGTCCCTTTGCTGCCCTTTCTCCCAGGACTAGACACCACTTTAAACAGTACCAAGCACATCAAGCGGCAGAGTTCTCACTTTCTCCTGTGCAGCTCAGCTCGTCACAGTCTGTATAGTGAAAAGCTGCCTTATGTGAGTGGCTGTTAAGGCCCTGCGCTAAAATGACTGGCTTGCACCAGTAATCCACTAGCGTTGCTTTAGGAACTGCTCTAGTACCATCCTGCCTTGTTCTTGCAGCTACCGACGGTTTTGTCGCCTTGATGATGTGTCAGCTCAGTACTGGTCTCAGTCTTGGCTCGCCTCTGCTAATTCTTTGGACAACCCAGCTTTCAGCAACTCCGAGGAGCTGCTCCACTTACAGAGGCTAGACAACAGTTGTTGCAGCTGTAAGGATGACACTATGATCACAGACAGCTACAAGCAGCGGACCACACCCATCAGCACAGTTTGCAGGCCCAGGTAACTTTGATCATCAGTATGTTCTGCTCCACTATTGGTTTAGGAAAATGCATGTTTTAATAAGGCATAGGAGAGTCCAGGATAACCTCTGTTATGGTCTATTGCAGTGGGGACAAGCTTACTTGGATGCCAGTGTTAAGGGATGTTAGGGGAGACAAGAGCACATGACTGGAATAGCAGAGATGAGTTGATTTCAGAGCATGCAAGAGCCCTTCACGTATGGCTGCTTTCCAGCTGCACCACTTAAGCCTGGGCTGCACTTAAGTTCTGGCAGCAAAGCGCATGTGTAACCCACACACCGTCTGGGGGTGGGGCTCTGTCCCATCTAGTGGCACCAAGACCACTTAGAGATAAAATGAGTCTGCTACAGCCTTAGTTAACAGCCAGTTGGCTTGCAGCTCACGCAGTAGAGACTCATGCCCTAAGCTCCAGAGGTCCCTGGTTTGATCCTGCTGATGGCTGGGGTCTGTCTGTTACCCATGGAAACAAATCACACCTCTTAAGTGACACAGCTGGGCTGCCACAGGGGATTCAGGGGGCACGGGGCAGGGGACATAAAAAAGGCACCACCCACTGCGGTGCTTGTATTCACCGGGTGGCGCTCTGAGTCTGCGGCAGCACTGAAGGGCCCCCTGCCGCCGAAGACCCGGACTGCTGCCGGGTGAGTAAAAATTAATAAAGGTGCCTCTAGCCAGGGAAGGGATTCTTGGCCAGGGCCCGGGGCAAATTGCCCCAACCTCTGGGCTGCCAAATGCCCTAGTGTAGCTGCAAATATACAATTTAAAAAACCCTTTTATTGGTATTACTTATTCTGTTTGGGGAACTGGTTTAAAAACTTTTGCTGTATTTAAGCAGCATCTCCCCTCAAGGGGTTTGCCCGTGTCTCTCTACCAGCAGAGCTTAAATGTAGTCAAGGCCCTGTGTTTGCTGTGGAATCTACAGGGGAGGAGGGAGGGTTGGGCCAGGCCAGTTGGCTCTGGTTAAAGGGACAGCAGACAGCAGGGCCCTCACAAAGCATGTGCATGGGGGGAAGCGAGTTCAGCAGCAGTTTTCGAGAAGTCATACTTGTTCTTGGCAGAGATTTGTTGATCTGACACCCAGGGCCATGGTTTGGTTTTAAACTCCAGTTGACAGCTCCAGCCCCGTTCACTCGCAGCACCGTGTCAGCCGAGCTACGGGCCCCACTGCCCTAAACCCTGAGCAGTTTTTGGGGGTGGGGGAGATCTCACAGGAAAGGGCAGAATTTAAATGTGTCAAGGATCAGCAGCTGGCCTTGCCTCTGGCATAGGGCCCATACCTCCTGCAGGCCAGCAAAGGCTTAGTTAGGGAAGAGGCCATCAAGCTTTAAACAACTTTCCACTGTTATTGCTTGTTTTGAGCTCACAACAGGGCACTAACCAGAAAAGTGTGTAATCGGCTTCCAGGGGTGTGAATGGAAAAAGGAATGAAATAAGTTTCCAATTTCAGAAACAAACTGCTATCTGTAAGATAACAGCCCCTCTCCCTGCTGAGGGGGTTCTGGCTGCAGAGAGATCAGACACCGCGGGTCTCCATCAATCCCTGTGTGCCTGCTTCATCACTGCTTTTAAGTAGTCTCCACCAGGGAAAAGTAGTGATGCTTTTTAAAGCCTGAGAATTAGTTTTATCCCTTTCTGCCCCACGTCATTTCCCATGGGTGAAACTGATCCCTGCCCGTCAAACTTGCATTGAATTTGTACATTTAAAATGTACATCCCTGTGCAGTCATTCCTGGGATCCATGCAGAGGGGTAGGCCACCTGCAAGTCTAGAGCTTCCGTTAGCTTTTGGAAGTGCTGGATTCATCTGTTCAGAACCCTCCAGCTCTCCAGGACTAGGTATTTTTAATGCCATGCTCCAATTGGTCCCCTGGAGACTTCACTGGCCAAACATCCGAATGATTCACGCTGTCCTCATGTCAGGCAGCAGGCTCTGTGTGCGTGAAGTGCTGTAATGCTTCCCCCTGGAGAGCCACCTGCTCCTACCCCTTCCACGAGAGTTTTCTGCAATTGTCCAGATGCAGATTCTCAGGAGCTGACTGCTGTGGGGATGGGACCCTGGCCTGGATTTTCTAGTGTGCTTTAGCAACAACGGCAAAGTTTAAGCTGTAGCTGACAAAAGAAGAAAGTGCTTGGAAGTTTTTTTGTTTTAAGCCTTTATTCACAACCTCAATCTTTTCTTCTAGCTTTCACTATGACTGGGACACAAGTTCTAGTAGCATAAATGATCCCATGATTGACTCTGGAAAAGCCAGTGATATTTCTGTGTCAAGTTGGCCAATGGAACCAGTTCAGTGGACACCCTTTCCAATTCTACATCATCTTTCCAGACAACGGCCGGTAAGCAGAGCGCTAACAACCTCATATAGGCTCCCAGAACAATAAGTAAATCTAGGCAGTGATTAAGTGTAACATAAGTTATGCTAAGAGGCAGAGGGTAAGTCAGAAATCATAAACAAGCCTTTCTTTAAACAGATGTTAATATTCTAACAAATTCATTTCGAAGTCTTCACTTCCAGCTGTACAATTTACTTTTTGCTTTAATTATTGACCCAAAATCTGGCTATACGCCTTCAAGGGAAGGGCTCACTGATCACTAGCATGCTCTGGCCACACCCTTTGTCTCCTTTTCCTAAACTGGAATCCAGCACTGAAATGCTGAGAAAGGCTTGGGGTTTTGCTGTGGTCCACAACCCACTTAGCTGAGATTGGAAAAAGCCTCCACTGGCCAGTTTTTCAGGGGGTGGAAGTTTCCTTCATGTACACATGAGTTTAACTCTCAGAAATAGACGAAAATGTTTTTGAAGCTACACCCAGGGCCAAACCCCCCTCTGAAGTAGTCTGCAACATGAGTGAGGTGAACATGGCTTAGTGAGGTGAGCTGGGCTCTCAGTCAATAGCTAGTACCAGGCAACATTAGTCTCTTGTCACTAAAAGATGAAATTGCTTTCTCCGCAGCCCAAAGCTAGTAGGCGACCTCATTCCTACTGTGAGGGGATGGAACTGGTCAATCTTGAAAGAAGCTGGACAGCCTAAAAATGGCAAACTAAAGACAGGCAACAGTTGTCAGCTTTTAAAACCAACCACGTTTTATTTTCACATAACAAGCTCAACGAAGGAGTTTCCAACACTTTGACAATACAATCAATGCAGGTATGATGTCAGTGCTATTCAATGCAGAGTGCTGAAGATTATCAGCGAAACCTTTCAGCAGTATTTCAGACTGGACTTTAGAAGCCAGCTTTGGTTTGGGACAAAGTAACTGTTAGTAGTAAGTGTTGAGTTAACACAATGCTGGCATCCAACAAAGTAAACGACTTACACCAGGCAAGCTGAGAATAAACTTTTTGAAGTCACATCATATTACGTACATATATGGTCTGCCCTACAGCCATTTCAGAACAAGCTAAGCCACTGTGAAAAGTGAAATACAAATTAAGTGCCGCTGCATTGTTCATTATGATTTATGTAAATGAGGTATAAATTTAACCCCAGTAAATGTTTAAGCATTAAACTTTATTTTCCAAAATGCTCTCCTTATTTGCAAGTGTCCTGTTGAGGATCTAGCGGGGCACAAATGGTGGGGTTATTAGAAAACTTGAGAGTTAGAAGCACAGCCAGGATCAGGGCAGCCCGATGCCAAAGGTGCTCAAACTGGGTAAAGCAGAGCAAGCTGCAGTTCTCTACACTTCTTCTCTCATGTCAGAGTGGGGATCTCGAGGGAGAATTTTGCTAGAATCAAATGCAGATTTGTTTACCTTCTAAAAAGTATCAGAATAAAAGAAATCCAAACTATGATACACAGTTATAGCAACACAGATTTTCATTGTCTAGAAAACAGCCTACAAATAAAGTCACCAAAAAATAGACAATTATA